GGGGGGGGTCGGCGGAAGCGGTGAAAGTGGCGGAGGTGGTCGCGGCGGCGATGTTGGCGAACGCTGTACCAAAAGGCCGACTATAAAAGCGGATTCGACGGACAAATATTTGTGAATTATTCCGATCCGCAACAACAGCCGCGCGGCGCAACTGCAACAACGGCGGCGAACGTTAAACATTTGTGTTCGAGCGCGCCGCTCTTCCATCATTGTCAAAAGTATTGTGTATGACGTATAATGGTGCAGCTCTTGCTCGGCAAAAAGTTTCTCGTTTACCGCACCGCAGTCCGCCCGACGTCGTCACACCTCACGCCCCGCGCGCCGTGTAGCGCTCGCTCTACTCCACCGCGTTCATATATGTATATATGATTTTTATGTATTATTTTCGACCGGCGGCACACCGATTCCGAAAAAGGATGGATTCATGGCGACGGCCGCGGCTGTCATCGGGAACAAACCCGCACCCGCACCCGCACCCGCACCCGCACCCGCACCCGCACCCGCACCCGCACCCGCAACCGACACCGCCGTTTTCCCGTCCCGCCGACGACGATGATTCGCCGGTAGCTGTGCACACACTTTTACGATTTCCACACGCACTAATCGCTCTCCTCAGTACCGTTATATTATTATTACTATTATTGTTATTGCTATTATTATAACGGTTGTTGGTAAAAATAGTTTCCCCTTTATTTGCAGCCCGCTCCGACCTCTTTCGCAACTATTATACCTGTGGGAAATCAAAACTCGTTCCCCGCACCGCCCGCACCGCCCGCATCCCGACCACGGTAACCTACTCCCCGGTATACCCGGGGTTTTAACGAATGGACGCTAACCGTTAGTTATATGAGGCACGCAAAACCAACTGGGTAGACACCCAAACACGCTGTTACCGTTAAACTGTTTTCCACTTCTAATAGATACGGTGCAGTTTTCGGTTTTTTTTCTTCGGAAAAGTATAGGTCGACTTACACGTAACACTTAATTATTGCTGCCGTTCCGTTGGTAGGTAGGTGTATGATATCATCGTGAATCAAGACTCACGTTGTGTAATAATAGGTTCGATGCTTTTGACAGTATTATAGTTTTCTTGGGTTATATTACCCAATATTAATTGCACTTATCTTTAACACCCATCTAAATATTGCTAAAACGTCTAATATGCAGGATTCATTACGATTATACAAGCATATTTTAGTCTTTAATGCAATTTAAATACTTATGTATAGTAATTACCTACCAAAAATATGACTTTAACAAATTATATATGAGAAGCATACATAGCTTTTATGAAAATATTAGGTAAACATAAACTAATCTTATGACATGCGAAGTAGTTACACTCGATTGAATAAAATATTATTAAGAATTTAAAATCGGCAATTGCTAGAATTTATACAACCATTTAAAAGTGAACATTGATTTCCTTGCAGATTCTAATACTTTTCGAGTACATAGAAATTGTATACATAACGACCTTAGTAGTATTTTCATCTACAGTGCGAGATTGTCTTGACAAATTTTATCATTTAAATCACTTCTGATAGAAATCGAGTCACCTTAAAATATTATATTTTATACATACATAGATAGTCTTAGTAGACGTTCACAGTAAAAATATTTAACACAATGAAAAAATAAAAAAAGCATTATATTAATTTGATGTATAAATGTTCGAAAAATTGAACCATAAATACCTAAATTATAAAAATTAAAAGTTAAAACCAAACATGGTTATTTGTAACCTTCAAAATATATTATGTAAAACGTTGATATTAAAAATTAAAATTAATTTATGTAAAGTGAAACTCATTTGAAAATAGAGCCACCTAGTTAAAGTTGTATGAGCATTGCAGTTCAATAGTAATAGGTAGTTGGGGAACTTTGTGCAAAAAAATACACTTGTTCTTATTGCCATTAATTTTAGTGTCATAATAATTTTTGAAATTATTTAAATTTAAATTTGATTGACATACGTGTTATGATAGAACTATTTGTCTTAATCTGTAGAATACAATATTGTTGATATATATTTGACTAGAAAATATTTACCGTGTATTAGGATGACAAAAATAAAATATATTAAATCACTGAAATTAATATTAGTAATGAAAATAAAAAAATTGCACGAAGAAAACGTCAAACCTATGAAAATAAATTATTCCAAAACGACAATGCATCAAAATAAAAATACGTTACCATGCACATGGGGGAGTATAACCATTGGTATTGTACTCGTGTTTCGTTGTTAAAATGTTTACTGTCGTATACTATTTCGTTATTTTGTGTACCTATACATTTTATCAATGCGAATAATACAACACTATTGTAGTCAGTATACGCGTTTGAATTTGTTAAACTAACAGTTTCCGTGTGTGTCTCACCAAAAAGCAGCAGCTATGTGTTTAACATATTTGTCAAAAACGTTCACGTATGTCCACCTATAGACAATATACCATATTGTGTGATTTATAAACAAATGTTTAGTTTTTGACTTTCTTATATATCTACATTTTTATGGAATAATCACTATTATTAATGTCGGTTTTATTAGAGCCCGAGAAACAAAAAACTTTACTTCAGTCTACTATAACTGCAGCTTCAGCACGACGGTGGGGACGACAGTTTTCATAAAATAGTGACAAGATTTTAATTTTCGTAGGTGTAAAACTCGTCGCGCCCGGGAATTTATTTTTAACTAACATTTTTGATAATATTATGTTAATTTCATAATTTGATTACGCGTAATTACAATTAAAATAATATCGTACGCGCCGTGCTGCCTTCGTGTTACATTGTAAAATTTAGGTCATCCGTATCAGCAGCACTGGTGCCATTAGAGCTCCCATTATAATTAGAAGGATGGGTAAGATATTAAGGACTTTCTTGATTGTGAAACTTTGGCAATTTGGAACCATATGACGTAGGTATTGCGTATCCAAAACACGGTGCCATTAAATCAGACCAATTTAGTGACGACGGTGCAGGTGCAGGGTGTTTTGGAGTAAACAGGGATAGGCAGCTGCGGAACACACAATTCGAAAATAAAACTATACCGCAGTAAGCGACTATAACGAAACAAAAACTCACCTTTACCGTCACCTTGACCACAGTCCAAAAAGCACAGTATCAATAATGCAATGAACTTTTGATGATGTCCGTGAGATTGGCAACCAGATGTCACCACCATCCTTGTACGATGTGTCGACTGTTTGTTGCCGGCCCTAAAACAAATTGGTTCAAATCGAAATGAGAAATAAAATTTGACCTATTAATCATTATACAGTCATTGTAGATAAATACCTAAAAAGATAAGTAAGAAAAAAATATATTGAATACGTCTCTTGAACTTTAATTATTATTGAATTTAAAGTATAATAACCAAATTGTACACGATAACACTACAAACAGATATTTGATTATACAAAAATAAGTATTTATAATATCTAGGTATGATTGATATTATAAATAAAATATATTTGTGCAAGTATACTATAATATACCTTCAACTTTAATAGACTGATAATACATCTATGATAATAATTGTTTGAATTTAGACTTCACTTTATAATCCATCATAATATATTATTATCACCTTGCCAATAGTTTATCAACGTTTTTGAATATTTTACTCTCCGGACCGAAGTGAAAACATGATTTTTACAAAATCAATATCAAACCATATTTATGCGTAATTTATTCTTCCCATGAGGTATTATTTATTTATGTATTTTTTTGTGTTTTATTTTTCAAAAGTACAGACTGAAAGTTTTTACTATTTGCGATTTACAGATGGAAAATTTTACATTATAAGCATTCCTTGGGGAGGTGCTTAAACTTTTTATTTTATAAAACAATTGTTACAATTCTGAAACGCAATACTCAGATGTAATGTAGTATAATTACTTTTTGTTTTACTTAATATGTGGTTGACTTATAAAGGTATTATAGTATTTATTTTAAATGTTTATTGTTTATGGAAAGTAATTGTTTGGAACCTAATTGAATATACATAAATTTGTTAGCATGTATATTGTTCATAAAATCTTTTCCATAGAAATGCATTTTATACTCACAAATGTTGAATTAGTAACCATTTATGTAGAAACCTAATATAATATTATAATAACAACACTTCGTTTACAAAATTTGTTTTAAAATTGTTGTAAAACAAATGAAAAGTTCTGTCATAAAATAGTTATGTTTTTATTTAGTTACATAATATTGTATAATTCAAGAACTTCACCATAATGTTATGGTTTTACATGAATCTAATCTAAACCAGTTATAAATGTGTGGTACAGTTCTAAACACAATTGAAAATTGAGATTATTTAACAACAAATTAAATATATACCAATAACGTAAATAATATTTGTCACGCAAAAATACCGTTAACTTAATAATGTACAATATAATACTAAATGATAACTTAATCATAGAAATTGATCATTCTTAAATATTTAATTATTATAAGTTTGATTTTAATACCTAGAAAGTGGATATAGATATTTACTTCTGTATATGGTACGAGTAATCCATATTTTATGACAAAAAATATTTATTGGAAAAATGTTATGCAAATGGTATAGCTATAACATTGTATTTAAGCTTTAACTCTAAATATTAAACATTTTGTTTTTTCTGTCTATAAAGGATATTATAATAAACATAATATCAAGGTTATTTAATTATTATTCGGTAATTTAAACTTGCATACCATTATAGAAAATGTTGGTTTGTATAGAATATTTTAATTAGTGTTTCAAAATAAAATTTTTAATTATTGTGTAAGCAAAAATAAAGTCAGGTTGTCTATAAAGGTTATATCAGTTATAATAAATTCTGTTTAGAGGTTTGAAACTTCAATAATGTAGTTGTCTCAAACCGTTATACATGTTTGTATCAGGATTGTATTAATTCATCAAGATAAAAATTAATGTAGATCGTATGAGTACCTATATAATATTGTTATAAACTACGGTATAATAATATTATAATGATTAGAATAGATTTCATTGAAAAAAGTATTGTACAATTTTTGGTAAGTTTTTCCATACTTTAAATACTAACTATAACTAAATTTTAATATTTAATATAAAAACTAACATATAACTAAATCACTACGATAAACCAAGACAAAAGTGTCATCAGTGGGTGGCTTCTTTCTTCAAATGTTTGTAAAATGATGTTTAATTGTTTATTTTCCCTTATCGCACGTATTATACTTATTATGTCTTAGATATAGATTGTATATTTTATTCTAAAAATAATAAAAAAGGGGGTTTTCACATTTTCTTGATATAAAAATATGAGCTTGAAATGGTCTATCTTAAAAATTAATATTTTGTATCCATTTCTAATTTGTATATGATATTACTTGAAAACCAAATTAAACCCACAGTAAATCTAAAAACTGTGTTATTTAGCTAAAAACCGAATGAACTAATAATCCAATATTACAAATATCGTTTGTGTTGGTAAGAAAAGTCTTACATTTAGTATTTTTTTATAAAATAGTACTGAAAATAATAAGTGTAACAATTGGAATATATTTTGTTTGATGTGTCATTATGTCAAGCATCTTATAAGCTTTTAGTGCTCAATGGAATTCAAATAATGTGGAATTTTTTATATACATTTAAAATGTTCATATTTACCTTTTTCAGATTTTATGAACTTTATATAATAGTTAGGTTAAAAGTCAAGTACGGTTTGATATTAACTTGTTTCGTGTATGTCTAGTAATACCTTCGTAATATTACTTTGAGGGTTAATTCTTCAACCCAAAAATAAATATAAACGATTTACAATTAGTAACAAATTGAGAATATATTAAAAGTACAGGAATTGTATTGTATCATAAATTAATAAAAAACTAAATAGTAATAATATCGACTACTGAAACCATCGTGTACAATATGAAACCTGTAAATACAATATTGATACTTTTTATTTTTATTTTAAGAAAACATTTGTTGAATTATGTCACAGAAAATGAGTTTTGCAATACATAATAACCTGTTAGAAAAAAATTAACAATATAAAAGTGCAGACGTCGTTTCATAACGAAAAAAATTAAACTGGAAAAATACATATTTTCATCACACCGAGTTCCTGATTTGAAAAAAATTCCATTTTTTTAATAATTTCTAAGACAGGTTAAAAGAATAGAATGTACATAATTTTTACTGATAACTTATTACGTTTGTTTTTTCGGTTTAATAACGTACATTAGACTTTTTATGATCATTTTATACCATTGTCACACGAATCGTAAACATTCAAAAACATAAACTATAAGTATTTCTACGACATTGTATCCTTTTTATTACAGATTTTTCTTTTAGTGTTATTATTCTTCTTTATGTTATTTGTAAATTATTATGTCTAAGTTATATTACCTTGTAAAGAAAAAAAAATTAAATAAGTAAATAAAATGAATAATATCGTGTTCACTTACGATACTTGCATGAAGGTAAAAGCACGTATTATTGTATTTTTGAAGTTTAATTTTATACATGATTTCAGAAATAGTAGGTATAATATAATGCTTATTTGGAAACATTATTATAAATATTAAAATATGATGCGTGAAGTACACTAGATACAAATTAATTTTACTAGAAAAATTCATCAACATAGATGATATTATGAATTTTTCGAAATTTAATGATTATTTAATATACTTTTCTCTATTATTTTTAGATAACAAAAACTCTTTCAAAACACATTTGTGTTCAATAAGGTACTAATAATTATATCATGCTATAATTATTGCAATGTTAAATGTACCATTATTATTATAAGTAAGTACCTACTCAACATTGATAAACATATAATGTTAATCGTAATAAAAAAATTATCAACCAACGGTTCAGATATTAATATTTAAATATATAATATTATTATATTAGGTGATAATAATTTGATTTTATGTAAGAAGTGTAACTATACACTATGTATATACGAACATATTTTGTATTCGTCTATACTGTCTCGTAATAATATAATAATCTGTAATATTAATTAAATTAATAATTATAAGTTTAAAAAAAATGGTAATCATGGTAAATCGTTATGATTATTATTTATGCCCACTATTATACATGTATTGTGTATCATATTATACACACATATTTGTAGGAATCGAAAACTATGTTTCAGCTATAATTTACTTATATAGTTATTAGGTTTCCAAAGGGCCTGTTGGAATATATTCCCTAAAGACTGAGTGACTTGTATAGTGCTGTGTGGTTAATACACCGATATAACTTTAATATGATAATAACATGAAATTCACTTTTCGTAATTATACATGTGCACGAACACAGTATGTAGGTACTAAGACGGAGATTAACTCAGTTTTCAACAAATAATCCAACGTTTAGACGATGCCTTTTTGTCTCACATTGTTTCCATAAACAATGCAATGTTCTAGAACATTTTGATGAGCTATTATATTTTGCGACTAGTAGATATCGTAATTATTATTATCAGATGTTGTAAGATACTAACTAGTCTTGTAACATAATGACTAAAAATTGTATTGTTGAAATATTGATACGAACGTTTTTCACACGAAGGTATGAATATTTTTGTTGTATCCTTAGTTCATTACAGGAATACTTGATGATATTTAAAAAAATGCACTATGTATATTTCGATTAAAATATATATTATAATGTTCACGGTGACACGTCGTTTGCGAAGAAAAGATTTCATTTGCACAGTTATCCGGCAAAAAACAACGCTACATCAGGAAAATACAGTATAATATTGGTATTGTTCAAAAGACAACCCTGCAGCAGTCATGGAATAAAACACGCCATGGAACAAACGTGGTTGCTTATTATACATTGAAACATGATGTAGAGAAGATATCTTCTTTTTCTTTGCATTGAAAAATATCCTAGCAGTTATAATATACTATTGTGCAGGTTAAAAGGAAAAGCGCCTTTAGAATGAGAAAATATGAGAGTACAATGGAATTGTCATCGTCGCCGTGTCTCACGAAAAGTAGACTGCCGGTCATCACGTTTCGGAGACATTCGGTAATGCATGGACGACTCGAAAATGCTTGAAACAAAAAGTATCACATAAAAGATTTAATTTTAAGAGAGCTAACGAACACTGTAATATTGTTGGTTTTTCACTTAATCATAATTTTAAATGCTTGCCAATCGCATTTCAATATTTGTTATAGCCCCCAACCTTTACTACTC